TTGCCATCTCAGTGAACCCTGGGGGGTGGAGCTGACACAGAGCGCCAGGGGATCCAACCCCTGGCCCCTGCGCCTGCTTGTAGGTGCTTTAATTTGCTGAGCTATTTGGCTAGCCCTATGCTTTCTTAAAATGAAGAGAATTACAGAACTGAATATGTAGATATATTTTATGTATGCTTCATGCCAAACATAGGAGTCCTCTACTTTAGTCCTCCAGTTGATTGAAACCTTATTTATTTTTTGTGGTACCGGGGATTGAACTCAGGACCTTATGCTTGCCAGGCAAACGCTTATTTTATCTTCCCAGCCCTGAAACCTTATTTTAAACTGCTTCCTCAATCCACAGTAACTTTCTCTGTAAATTATAGGTAAATTAGTGTATACTTTGTGGAAAAGCAAGCACCTTCAATACGAAAGGAAAGTGGATTTCTGGTCAGTTCATAGACTCCGTTATTAAATGGCACATGATCACATGAACCTTTAAATGACAAATTACACTGGAACTTCAAATTCCAATTTTTGATAAAAGCAGAACGAAAAGTTGGACTGAAACAGTTGACATTTAGAAACAAGTCTGACAGTTGGCAGGGTCCCTTATCAGTGTCCCACTCATCCTGTTATGTATGACTTGTGCCTAGATGTTTCCCCAGAGCCTCGTGTGGTCATAAGGCTTTTCCAAGGTGGCTACATCTAGAGTGTGTAGTGCTGGGACCAGGGGCCTGTGGTTAATAAATCAGTCCCCTGACTGGTTTGGCAGTTATAGCTAGGATTAAGGGTGTGAGTGCTACACTTGCCCTAGGGTGGGTAACCCGCATTACAATATAAGGGACAGGAAGCGACTTGTCCCTCCCTCACTGCTCTTGCTATCCCATGAGTGCCATGAGTTGTTCTCTGTGATGCCTTGGAGTTAGCCAATTACAGACTGAAACCTCTACAAACTGTGAGCCAAATAAACCTTTCTTTTTCTGTTTTATTGGAGGTTTTAATATATTTATTTGAAAACCAAGGTCTGTGAAAGAGCACACCAAATGGTCATGTTAAACCTTTCTTTTTCAACTTTGGGTATCAGGTATTTTGTCTCAGTGGTGAGAAAAGTAACTAAGATACATCCTTTTCCTGGTGTTTTTCGGTTCCTGTGGCTATGACTTGCCTCGGGACCAGTGCAATCAATGGTAACAATCCCGAAAGGCGGGATACTTCACTGCACTGCACAGGACTTCTCACACTCTGGACAGCCTATGGCTGTGTGGTGTGAGCTCCAGGAATGCAGGCTTAGCAGAGGAGCTGCGAGGAAGGTCACTGTGGCATGGAATACAAAACTGCGTTTGTAACGTGAATTGACAACATGTAATGTATTGTGTTGTTTCACTTTGCTTTCCATGCTGGATATTGAATCCACAGTTTCAAGCATGGGGTGCTGGGCTACCTTCCCTTGGGTCCTTGACAAGTATGAAGAACATCGTTATATGCACAATCATCACATCCTATTTTAAATTCCTTTCAGCTTAAATATTTATAATCCTATAGGCTGACGATAGTTTGACCCAGATTGTACCCACATGTGACTTTGATCTGTAAATTAGGGCTTGCTAGCCACCCCATCCGGGACCCCTCCTAGAAATTCAGGAGCTATTTTCCTTATTTTCAATAAAATTCTCCTACCTTAAAAAAAAAAATCCTTTCAGTTTGGGACTCACAAAGAAGTGAGGCATAACATCTATTACTAAAGAATAGGAGGCAGGGGGGCAGCTCAGTGGTATGAGCGCCTGCTTGGCTTGTACAAGGTCTCGAGTTCAATCCCCAGTACCAAAAAAAAAAAAAAAGGAGAAGAATTATTTATGGGCCCTGTAACATGTACTGAGCCATAAACTAGGTTATTTATATATGCTACTAATCATTTTTTATCAATGAAGAAGCTAAGATTCAGAGAGATTAATGAACAGGGATATATATACCAGATCTAATTCCCCAGAGGTTGCTCTTTCTCTTATCTCAAGTTATCTCCTGAAAGTAGGTGATACTTAAGAAAGACATTTCACAAAAGTTATGTGTCCCTAAATATGACAATCTAACCTGTGCTTAGAATAAGGCACGGAGAGTTATTACTCTACTACTGCTTGGGGAACTGGTTGACTAAAATCGTTCTGTGCTTTTAAATAATCTGTATTTCTTTATATCAAAAGCAGCAATGGTAGAATTTGCTTTCTATTGAGAAAAATTATTCCTTTGCATGAAATTGATATTCATATGTGGCATACTAGTGTGTGTAATTGGTATGGATTTTTTTTTTTTTTTTTTTGGGTAGAGAGCTGTCTTTACTGGCAATACCACTCTCTTTGAAGTTAAGATATAGTAACACTGATGTACAAGTAACTTGCCAAGGATTCTCATCTCTATTTGACCCACTTTTGTTTAGACATAATTAGAAAACCACCTCAGATCTTGTACTTTTCAATTATATTAAAGTAAAATACAATGAATAAAGTATGAGTTTCAAGAAGTTTTTTTAGATCCCAACTCATCTTTCATTATCACAGGCTTTAAGGTTGGACATGCATACACTTTTGTGTACAGGGAGGGGAAATGGGTGTCTTATAAAATGTTCATGAAAAACCATGATCAAACCTAAGGTTCCTTTTTTTTTTTTTTTCAAAGATGCATTTTTAAGGAGAAGTTTATCTGGAAATTGAAGGAATCAAAAGACCATGCCCCTCAATAAAAGCATATACAACAACCCCCATGATAAGAAAATATGTAACCTGGAAGGAAAAAAAAAAAAACCCTCAAAACTACTCTGGGCACAGTGTATGCTGCAGAGTAGCCATAAACCTTTCCAGAAGCTGGCTGCTTTCCTTGAATATGCTGGCAGTGGTGAATGAGGTGCTCCAAACACTTTTATCATCATCAGCTTCCTCCCACAGGCCTGTGTCTATTTCCAAAGGTGACATCAGTGAACATGTAAGCTCCAAGAGCTGTATGGTTAATGTCATCGGCTCAAGTGAGACAACCCTGACAAATCCCAGGAATGTCCTGACATGCAGCATCGTAGTGAAGAACAATTCCAGAGGTCTGAAGAAATTTGAATTTCTGCCCTTAATCAAAGGTTCTTGATATCTGGTTTATATCCAAGATCTAGTTGGTTCATCATTTTCATAAACTTTCTTCTGGGTTTGGAAACTTCATCAGGAGACTTGAGATATACTGATTTGGAAAGTTCCCTCAGTTTCTCCTGAGTTTGAAATCCTGGCCTTGTAGTGGGGCGAGGACCACTGGAGGTAGATGAATCAGCCTTGGGTAAGGGATCTTGTAATGCAGTCCAATTTCAATCCTGGCTGGACATTCTTCTATACACTGTTTAATCAGGTCTGTGTCTGTGAGATTTTTGTTTTTCCAAAACAGTGTTCTAGCTTCGTTTAGTATATACTGTTTTTCTTTAATAGTGTTTTCAGCCCTGATGCCACATGCTACTTCCTTACAAGCCTGAAAACGCTAAGGTAGAGGTCAAGAACTTATCATGTTGCTGCTGTCATTATATTTTTTTCTAAACTGTTTTGCCTTCTCCCACACACTTCACAATCCTGCAGCAAGGCCTGAAAGTTGATCCTCCAAAATATATTCTGAGGCATATTCTCTTCATTTCCATAGCAAAGACTCTCAACACCAGCAGTGTTGGCACTCATTGGGCATCAGTCCTACCTTCCCTCACACACAGAAGTGCTGAAGCCCCAGCCCGACTGGGAGGAGGAGGAGGCACTGGGAGTTCTGCTCCGAAGTATGGATTTCTAAAGCTAAGCTTAGGTAATAAAATGATCATATTTATCAGAAGGAATGTGCACCTGTACGCGATTATGCTTTGAGTCTTTTGTTCCCATTCCCCTCTCTCCCCTCCCTTTAACTCATCTTCCCCTCCTTATTTATAAAAGTTTTGTTCCCTTTTTTCCTTCTAAGACTTTTATAGCATGCTCAAGTGAGCAAATTATTATACAATAAACTTTGCTTTCATAAAAAGTGGATTTCATTGTTTTATGTAACAAAAGGATTCATGAATAATGCCCTAAAATAGCAGGCAGATTGTAACAGACCTATCATGCATAGACCATGAAAAACAGTATGCCAGAAAGGAAGAATGAAGAATTTTAATCGAAAGGGACAGAAACAAAGAGTTAATATTTATTCCAATCGTTTTGTAGGATAACCGATACTTCAAAGGTGGGAAAGATAAGGGTAATAAAAATTTTACTATCTCAATTTTGTATTATTAATCAGGAAAGCGTTTTAAAGGTAGTCTAAATAGCTAATTAATTTCTCCAGGATTTGCAGGGGTTGAGTTTCATTGTCTTAGGAACTGAGTAGTTTGCATTGATTAGATCAGGAAAGGAAAGCCAACTTGCTGCCCCTAAACTTTCACCAACATGAACACTTCAGCACCACAACTTCTCTTTCTCCAAGTCTCTCTCGCTGTGCCCACTAGGGAGAAGCCTGGTTCTCATGAAGCACACCAAGAACCTCGCATCTGGCCACGTCACAGAAAGCTTTAGGATCCTGACCAGATCGGACTTCTCTGATGCATCTCAGCCTCACTCCCTTTTCTGTGAATCTCTCTCCTTGGCCTTGGTGACGCCCTTGCTGTGTCTGTGTGTCACTTTGGTCTGAGTCTTCTCTGCATCCCTGGGCACATCCTGGTTTGCCACACTTAATGTACAAATGCCTGGCAAGCCTCAGAGTCATTTGCACAACCAAATCCAAGGTACCACAGACAGAGCAGGCCAAACT